TTGAAGGTAGAGAAAGTCATGAGGGATTTCTTGTGGGAGTCAGAGGAAGGGAGGAAGGATCATGTGGTTAGGTGGGAAATAGTGTGTAGGAGGAAAGAGCAGGGGGGATTGGGATTAGGCAATCTAAGGAAGAAAAATACAACATTATTAGGTAAATGGCTATGGAGGTGGCCTCTAAAAAGGGAGAGACTTTGGCATAAAGTGGTAAGGAGTGTGAATGGTGTTGCAGACAATGGACGGGATGCTGGTGTATCTCGGCGTGCTATGCTGAAATCCCCATGGAAGGCTATTCATAGTATTCTTCCCGTTTTCCTGAACCTGATCAGGTATGATGTTAGTAGTGGAGATAGGGTTTTATTTTGGGAGGATGTTTGGATTGGTGATTGTGCCCTCAAGGACCTCTTTCCCTCCTTGTATTCCATCTCGTGTTTTAAAAACGAGCCAATTCAAAGGTTTGTATCATCATCCTTTTCTTCTGGCATAAACTGGAATCTGGATTTTAGAAGAGGTTTGAGAGATTCTGAGCTTGACCAGGCTGCTTTGCTCCTCAAAACTATTGATTCTGTTTGCTTGGACCCTCCTTTTGTAGACTCCCATATTTGGAAGCCATTACCTTTGGGTTCTTTTTCTTGTGCCTCCTTCTTTGCTTCCTTGTGCTCCTCTCCATTGCCTCAACCTTTTCATAATAAGGAAGTTTGGTCCAAACCTGTCCCTCCTAAAGTTGGAGCCCTTTGTTGGGAAGTCTCCCTCGAGAAAATCAACACTTTGGATGTTTTGCAACAAAGAAGACCTAGTCTTTGTATCTCTCCTAACTGGTGCACCCTATGCAAAGCTCACGAGGAAAGTTGCTACCATATACTAATCACTTGCCCTTTTGTTGTAGGCCATTGGGAAAAGCTTTTTGATCTTTTTGGGTGCAGGTGGACAGAACCGGTGCAGATTTACAATCTTTTTGATCCTACAACTTTCAGGTGGCCAAAGAGAAGAGGAAGAGTTTTGTGGAGGTGAGTTAGAGCTGCTTTGGTGTGGACTGTGCGGGAGGAACGAAATGCTAGAATCTTTAATGACAAGGAGAGGGATCAAACATGTGTGTTAGAAAGTATCTTATGTAGGACCATAAGTTGGGTAAAATCCTTGGATCTGTTTTCCACCTACACTTTCAATGACACAAGGAGAAATTGGGAACAAGAAGCTAAAAGTTCTGCAATCAGAAGCAAGCCAGTGGTGGATTGGAAGCCTCCTGATGCAGGCGTCATTAAACTAAATTTTGATGGCAGTAGTTTGGGCAACCCGGGACCATCTGGAATAGAGGGAGTCTTCAGAAATGATGACTTGTAAATGCAGAACTCCAAGCTGTGTTACAAGGAGCAGAATATGCAAGAGAGTTGGCAGTGGAGCATTTAATGATTGAAGGTGATTCCAAATTGGTTATTGGATGGCTAAAAGAAC